TTTTGGATTTTTTTTTCATTCCGACTTCCGAAATTCCGATTTCCGAAAATTTTCCGATTTTTTTGGATATCCGATTTAATATCCAAAATTAATCCGAAAAAATTCTGATTTTTTTTTTTCCAAAAAAATACACCTATAAATAATATATATTATATAATACTTATTATAAGTTTCTTTTTGTTTTCTGAAATAGTAATTTGATTTAAGTTTTGTTTTAGGATTTTGACATATTGAATTGTTGTTAGAAGTTTTATTGAATCGTAACGTGGATGTTCTTATTTTTGGAATATTATGAAATTTTTAGAAAATTTCCGCTTAGTTTTGAAATTTTAAAACTTATGTGATTTTCGATTCTTTTCCGAAATTCTGAAATTTCCGGGCCTTTTGGAATTGGAATGAATTTTTAGATTCCGAAAATTTTGGAATTGGAATTGATTTTGTACTTCCGATTTTTTTTGGAAATTTTCCCAAGTCTAATTCCGATCCGATCCGATCCATCCGACTTTCACCCATAACCGTACCAAACATTGCTTGTCTCTATTTATTTAATTTTTACTATTTTTTTTCGCTGTACCAGGTGCTCTGGAATTGGTAAACATTTTATCTGTAGCGAAAGAAATCGGATATAGATACGTATAATGGTCGGATTGTAATGTGTGTAAACAAGTTTATTACTAGATTGTTATATGGTTGATACGTATATACCTTCTTGCATCGGAATATTTACAGATGCAGTTTCATTGTGCTTATGAATTTGCGTTCGACTTGCTAAATTATTCAGCTTGATCGTATTTCTGTTTCTACATACTTATGTAATCGTATTATAGCCGTATCGTAATGATTATATTATCACTTCTTCGTTTTTTCTTACTAACTGTTCGAAGGATAGGGAACAGGGAGGAAGGGAGAATTTGGCAGAAAACGGGATAAAATTGCACTCGATGGTGAAGCTGAGTGAAATGGTGAGCATATTGAAGAAGAAGGGTAAAGTTTCAACGGAAACCGAGAAAATGGTTACGAAATTCTTGGAGGAGAATCAAAAGATTCCTGTACCGGTCATGAGAGCAACACCTAAGAAGGCTCGATTTAGACTCCCCTACGAAGAGAGGGCAAATATGGCAAAGAATCCAACAGGAAAGAAATTGTTTGAGATAATGGCGCAAAAGCAGACTAATTTGTGCGTCGCTGCTGACGTGGCGACTGTCGCTGAGCTGCTCGACATAGCTGACAAGGTGGGGATTAAAAAAATATATATATTCTTTCGTTTTTTTGTTCACATGTTGGTGCTATTTTTATCTTTAAGGGTAAATTACAACCACCCGAGGTATGGCCAAATTACGAAAAAACCCCTCTTGTTTGGATAATTACATCTACCCCTCAACTATGAATCTTCTTACATCTCCACCCTTATGGTGTCAAATTCAAAAAAATCATCTTGATTCCTTAGAATGTTCTCTAGTTTGTACTCGTTTTGTGCAAAAATACAGTTTATGATGCACCGATATTTACAAGCCAAGAGACACATCTTATGATCATCATAGCTTCAAAATGTGGAGTTCGAATGGGATCAAACTGGTCCAAAATTGAGAATATTCCATATAATCTAGAATTCCACTAAATTTGAAACCGCAAGGGTGGACGTGGAAGAAGATTTATAGTTGAGGGGTGGTTGTAATTACCCAAACAGGAGGGGGGTTTTCGTAATTTCACATACCTCAGGGGTGGTTGTAATTTACACTTATCTTAATTACGTTTATGGTTAAGTTATTCTACTTGATGATGTTTTTTTTTTTGGGATAATATTGCAGGTTGGACCCGAGATCTGCATGTTAAAAACCCATGTGGATATATTGACTGATTTCACCCCTGATTTTGGATCCAAACTTCGCTCGGTAAATCCTCTTTCCCGAGCTTCATTCCCACCTTAGAGTACTTGTAAATACCTAGGGCATTTTTTTGTGGTATTTGTCACGGTCGTACGTAGATAAACAGAGAAAAGCCGTTGGGACATAACATATTGCCGCTTAATTTTTTTAAAACATTTTAATTGTAAAAGAAGGTTCTCTCGCAAGAAATAATGGCACCGATCGCTCTTTCTTTAAATATTTCTCGGCATAACTGTGGTTAACTCTATTCCCTAACGAGCATGGCAAACCTAAAACTACTTCTACCTTTTGGTGACTAATTTTGCTTAACCATTCAAGATTGCAGAGAAACACAATTTCTTGATTTTCGAAGACCGCAAATTTGCCGACATTGGTAATACAGTCACCATGCAGTATGAAGGGTTAGATTCTTTTCTCGCTTTGCATTTCACACACAAGATTCCTTCGTCGCTTTCCTTGAGAATACTCGTATAATTTTACGCAGAGGGATCTACCATATATTGGAATGGGCAGATATAACAAACGCTCATATAATTTCTGGTCCGGGAATAGTGGACGGGCTAAAACTCAAGGTGTGAATTTGATACGCTTTCTGAGCATTATATGTTATCAAAATTATTCAATTTCTTAATTTTTCGAATTTTACGTTGCGATAGGGTTTGCCTCAGGGCAGAGGTTTGTTTCTGCTCGCTGAAATGAGTTCGTCTGGTAGTTTTGCTAAGGGTGACTACACAGCTGCAGCTGTGAAAATTGCTGAAGAAAATTCGGATTTTGTTATCGGCTTTATATCTGTTAATCCTGCTTCGTGGCCTGGTGGAAGGATAAATCCGTCATTTATTCATGCAACCCCTGGTGTTCAAATGGTGATAGGCGGAGATGCATTGGGCCAACAATATAACACTCCGAATTCTGTAAGTATATGCTAATTTTGTCTGTTTAATATATAATATGGGCATTCAGCATTTAAATTTCTTTGAAAATATTACATCTTAGCTTCGTGTAAAATTGATATTTGTCGTATTTGTTAAAATGTACGGTTTCAGGTAATATCAGACAGAGGTAGTGACATCATCATAGTCGGGCGTGGAATTATTAAGGCAGCAAGCCCTGCAGAGGCAGCTCGGCATTATCGGCTTCAAGGATGGGACGCGTATTTGGACAGCTGCAAGTAGAAGTTCATATGTAGCAAGTCATATATATTTTCTTCAAATTTTAACTAGTTTATGACATAAGAGACTATTTTTTTGGGGTAAATTACGGTCACCTCCTGAAATATGGTCAAATTACGAAAAACCCCCTCTTGTTTGGGTAATACAACCATCCCACTATGTAATGTCTACACTTCCACCCTCACGCTGTTAAATTTACCTAC